TTTTTTAAATGCCAAGTGATTTTATGTTTTTACTTTTTGATGTTTGAAATTAAGTATTTTGTGTGCTATTATGTGATCTAAATTAAATAAGGATCTTGCGGATAAAACTATAGGGTATTATGTAGATCTATACAGAAACCAACTGAGAAACCTATCGTTCGACCCAACTAACACCTAGAGGGGGGGTGAATAGGTGTTCTTGCGGAATTAAAAACTTTTTGACTAATTCATGCAACAAGTCACACAAATTATAATTTGTCCAGATTAATTCACGTGATTTATCTACCTATGTTGGATTACCATTGACAAGTAAATAAATTAAAGCGGTAAAAACACAATAAACATGTTGACGGAGAAACCCAACTGGGTAAAAACTCCGGGCACAAGCCAGTAGAGATTCACTATTGTAGAAACCAACTTACAGCACGCCAGACCTCATTGACACTCTCAATTTTCTGACCTCCTTGCTGTATGAACTCAAGACCCTCCTGGATTTTGCAGATCCGTGCTAAATCCCAGCCTTGTATAATTTCTACCTCCCGTGAATTGCCACGCACTCCAGCTCTTCAAGCAAATCCTTCCCGGATCTTCAAACTGATGATCTTCTGGAAGTTTAATTGGAGTTGTGAGACAGGTGTTTTGGTGTTTATGGATTTGATGTTTTTACTCAACAAGCCAAGGATTAGTATGAGAACAATGAATGATTTCTTTGGCTTTTGATCCTTGGAGAGAATGATTTGGATTTTTGGTTGCCAAGGAATTGAAAGAATATTCAAAGTGTTTTCAATGTGAATTTTCGGGTTAATGAACACGAATGGGACGTTTGGTATATATAGAGGTTGATATATGGTAATGTGGAGAGTCAAACATTCGTGAGCGTTTAAAATTAGAATTGGCTAGGTAACACGGTCGCTCGAGCGAGGTACTGGCGAGCCTCGAGCGACGTACATTTCGCTCGAGCGATGGCTCAGCGTGAGTCCAGCAAAGTTGGTTCTGCAATTGTGGCTAGAGCGAGGTCGGGGCGAGACTCTAGCGAAATCAAAGAGCTGCTTGCATCTTCGAGGCATCCCACACAACCCTAGACCTAGCCTATAAACTTTAGTTAATTGCAACTCTAGTCCCTGAACTATTGGACATTGACATTTGGTCCTTGACTTTACAATTTTGACAATTTGGTCCTTGGTCACAGATTTGCCAATTACATATTTTCCTAACAAATTCCCCCTTTGGCATTCTGTGACAAAAACACATTTGACAGTCAAGGATAAAAAACAAATTGACTCAAAACTACCAATCTATTCTATCACATCAGCAATATCTTGTTGAACCTGTTTCCTGAAAAACAAAACTCAAATACCACGTGAAAAAGCATGTGAAATGAAACAGTAAATATAGACAAGATATAAATCATATATCATTAACCAGATTAAGAAGCAATAATAATCTATGTCTAAAACACCAAAAACAGACATTAAGATTGCCAAAACATCAAAAACTTAATCTAGTTACAAAATGACATATATACATCAACTTTATATCACAGTTATCAAAAAATAATTATCTGCTCCAATATCTATGCAGCTCCAATGTCTATGCAATCTATTCCATACCAACTCAATCAATCTAAATCTACTCCCCCTTTTTGTCACAAAGGGCCAAAGAAAAGTGAAAGCAACAAAACGAACTAAGAAGCAGCATCTCCAGCACTGGAAGAATCAGAACCACTCTTAGCAGTCGTGCCCTCCTCCAAATGATCCCGAATCCAGCTCAACTGACGCTGACAGACAGCAAGAGCACGGCGGAACGTAAACATCCCGGCGGACTGACGCTCCGAAGCAGCACGTAACTGCGTGATCTCAGCTATCATACGAGCCTACTGCTCGATCAGTGTAGACATCTGACCCATAAGCGTCCCCGTGGGGTCAATGGGCAGAGAAGCCACCCCCGGAGCAGAAGTAGATGTCGAAGCAAACGCCGAGCTAGGAGGCAAAGGAGAAGGAAAAACTGGACGAGGAGGGAGAAACACACGGGAGCCCCCTGTAAGAATCTCAGTAATAGGATCAAAGGGCTCCAAAGGATCAAAAACATCAGGGGTCGCAGCCGGAGCGGTAGAGGAAGAGGACAGTACATGGGATCGACTCTGATGAACGGTCTGCTGTCCAATCAGACGTCCTATGCGACAAGTCGAACCCTCCGAAAAAGAGGCACCCAAAGACAACGCAACCCGATGAATCAAACAAGCATAAGGCAACCCAATCCGACTCCCAGAAGTACGAAAGGAAGCCAAAATATTCTGGCATACAAAACTAGAAAAGTCGATTGAGTCCCCATGAAGAAGGGCATACAGAAAACGGGCACGCACCATAGGAAGAGAAGAGGTATGGGCAACAGGCCACAGGTTTGTGCACACTATGCGCAACAAGACCTGACGATCAGTAGGCAATGACCCCGTGGCCATCGCCGTAGGCCCACCGATAGACGGGGTGTTCAAAAGCGTAGACCGAACAAGAGTATCGGCCGGAATAGAAGCAGGTAAAATATAGGGGTACGTCGGATGGGTAACCTGAGGTATACCTAAGGCATGAGCTATAGCCGATGGAGTAACTCTAAACGAATGACCCCTAAGAGTAACCCTAAAGGACGAGTCATCTATATCATGAATATTCGCGTAGAATTCCTGAACGAGGAGTGGGGAAGGAAGTGAAAGTCCAATGAGTAGGGGCTCCCAACCCCGGGAAACAAAAATGGCGGCTATATCAACAGGAAGGTCAGATAAGATTACCTCACGCTCCACGAGAACGGGGCGTAAGGAGAACTGAGAAGTGAAGACCTCCTGAGCTGTAGCAGAAATGAATCTGGAACGACTATACGACGTCGAACCACTAGCCGGCTGCGCAGAGGATCGAGAATGCTTACGGGCCATCTGGCATATGAAGAGATGAAACTAATAAGTAATATGAAGAATGCACGTGATGCGATGTAATGTGGAATGAAACACCGCACACACAAAAGAGGCACAATAGAGATGCATCGACCAACGTGAATGACCCTAAGCACAAACGAAGTAAGATGAAGATATAGACCAAAAACATGTGGAAACACACCTATCATGGCACGTGATGACAAAGAACCAATGACGTAAAGGAAAGAAAGAAATGAGATGCACAAAAGAAAGAAAACAAAGAGTAAAATAGGTAAGGAATTTCATCGAGCATGTGGCGTGCATCACTTTGTCACACAATTCCAAGCACATATGAGATCCAATCACCCATCCAATCATAGTCCCTCAAACTAGAAATGACGTACTTTAAAATGAAACAAACCATACGTCAAACGGATTAACGGAATGCAAGAACGAACGAATTGAAAATAGATATAAAAAAAAAAAACATGTAAACCACATACTTTGAAGAATGAAGAAATCAAAAATGCAATGGAAATCGTGATGCACAATGCGGGAAAGAACTCCCAATGAAACAAGGAATGTCGAAGCCACAATGAATTAAGTAACAATCATGTAAGAAGACCAAAGTAAGCCGAACACACAACAAAGCGGAGGAAAACGAAAAAAAAAGGGAAAAAAATTACCTCAATAAGAAGTTTGGCAAAGGAAATCCGGAAACCAATATGTTATGGACCGTGGAGTGATTGTAATAGAGGAATAAGGTGATGAAATATGGAGGAAATGGCGAAGAAAAACGAAGGAGAAGAGAAAAAGAAGAAAATGCGCGAAAAAAATGAAACAGGGCCGTTTTAAAATAGGCCTGTCGCTCGAGCGAGGGTCCAGCAAGACTCGGGCGACAGGCAAACTGCTTTTGTCGCTTGAGCGAAGGCCAGGCGAGACTCGAGCGAAAAACCAAATGTCAAAAATAGCACCAAAGATTTGAATTTTGAGAAAGATAACATAATCTTCAAGAAATGACGAAACTAGCCCCAAATCGTGAAATTTCAAAAATAAGTGAACTACGTAATAGGGAAAAAACAAAAAAAAAATAGCATGGAACCACATATGCAATCAAAACCAACAATTGGCATAAAATCACAAACCCGACCACCAGCACGTAGACAAATCGTTAATCCACACATAGTTTAGAATCCCGTATAGTAAAGTGTATACAGAACATCACCGTGAAAAGTGCCACGTAGTCCATGCAAGCTAGACTCAAAACCTTAAATTAGTGAGAAAGGACATGTGAAAACAACCCGACAAAGGTGAATGTCGACCAAGTGACAGTCAAATCCAATTCCACGAGTACCTATATCAAATACTATGATTGTCACAATTTTACTCCCCCTAACTGTATGATTCCAAATTTTTATTTTTACCTTTTTTTTTTAAATTTAAACAAAAAAAAACTTAAGTGCAATGCCATCCCCATTAGACAACATAAATGACCCCTGTAACGAACTTTGGGCCGGTGACTCCCAAGTCAGACGACCATAGGGCACCAGGTTAGAAACCCCTCAAGCTTAATTGTTCGAGTCAAATAGGCCCCGAAGATAGCCATAAGTTCAACAAAGAACAAAAGTAAAACTGGGGAAAGATAATATTGATTAGGTTACACTCGTCCCAGATCAAGTCAAATGTACATACAACCCCAATCATAGAAAAACACCATCCCAAGTCTCACCCATGCGGTCAAAACTCACTTACAGGACTACAGTGTGTGTTGTGTGAAAATGAATGACGAGCCATATACCCAGAACTCCACATTGAAAAATGAACAAAGATGGATCCTGAGATTCAAACACATGTTGGAAAAATAGAATTTGATCTTTGATGCAAATGCTAGAATCGTTACATAAAAGTCCAAAAAAAAAATTTCTATTTTATTTTAACTGATAAATTTTTTTATTTTTTTTATTAAAACACACACATAACACAAAACAGAAGACTAAACAAAACAAAAGAAATGCATCACACACACACAGAATACACACAAGATATGAAGTGATGAGGTACATATGTGATGAATGTATGAACATGCATGAATCCATGATCAAATAGGTGAGCAAACACCAACAGCCGTCTGAAGCGACTCAAACCTCAATCCATCTAGTGGTTTCGTAAGTAGATCAGCCAATTGATTATCAGTAGAAACATGGTCAAGAGAGACAACATGTGATTCAACAAGCTCTCGAATGAAATGATGTCGTATGTCAATATGTTTTGTTTGAGAGTGCTGAATGGGATTCTTAGAAATATTTATCGCACTCGTATTATCACAGAAAACAGTCATTGTCACTTGACTAATCCCATAATCACTAAGCATTTGTTTCATCCAGAGAAGCTGAGTACAGCAACTCCCTACAGCTATGTATTCGGCCTCTGCCGTGGATAAAGATATTGAATTTTGTTTCTTACTTAGCCAGGCTACGAGATTGCTACCCAAATACTCTAAAATACTTAACAGTAGGCTTTTTACCTTTAAGAATTTCATATGGGGTCTGATCAGTCTTGGGTCTAAGGTAGACTCTATTGATGATGTGGCATGCAGTGTTAATAGCTTCTCCCCAAAAGTGTAGGGCTAATTCCTTGCCATGAAGCATGGCTCTAGCCATGTCCTGAAGGACACGATTCTTCCTTTCAACTACCCCATTTTGTTGCAGAGTGATAGGGGAAGAGAACTCATGCAATATCCCTTCGTCCATACAGAAACTCTTAAGATTAAAGTTCTCAAACTCTTTTCCATGGTCACAACGCATCCTAGACACTTTGAGATTCAGTTCATTGCTAAGCCGTTTACACAGAGACTTTATGAGGTCACTAGCATCAGATTTTTCCCTTAGCAATTCTATCCAAGTAAACCTCAAGAAGTCGTCTACCACGACAAGAATGTATCGCTTACCACCTAAACTCTCAGTCCTAGAAGGTCCCATCAAATCCATGTGTACCAACTCCAAGGGTCTTTTGGTCAGAATTTTAGTAGTCTTCTTATGGCTCCCCTTAAGTTGTTTACCTAGTTGACATGGTCCACACACAACATTTTCACTAGGAACTATCTTAGGCAGCCCATCTATCAATTCTTTCTTAGCCAACTGCTCTAGACTCTTATAGTTCAAATGACCTAATCTTTTGTGACAGAGCTCACTCACATCAATTTTAGCACTCTACAAACATAGTTAGAATTAGGTAATACCCCATAACAATTGTCAGATGTTCTAACCCCTTCAAGGACTACCCCACCGGATGAATCATACACGGTACATCTCTTCTGCACAAAACTAACCTCAAAGTCGTCATCACAAATCTGACTAATGCTTAACAAATTTGACTTTAAACCTTCCACATAAAGCACGTTAGAGATCACATGTAAACCATGCATTTGTACAGTACCTTTGCCAAGAATAGGTGCAGAGCCCCCATCTCCAAAGGTAACCATACCACCATTACATTCATCAAGAGTAGTGAATAGAGCTTTATTACCACACATATGCCTAGAACATGCACTATCTAGGTACCACATGTTGTAATTTTGGGCTTTCAATGCAACATGAGCAACAAAACACTTTTCTTGACCTGAAAGTCTAGCTAGATCACCCTTTTTGACCCAAATCTTTTTAGATGACAAAGTACTCTTAGTTAGCTTAGTAAGCATCTCAGTCAAATGACTAGCCTGATTAGACGGAAAGCTAACCTGACTAGGAATATTTTGATTTCTACGCTCATTGCCTAACTTATAACATCTAGGCCTAGTGTGTCCTAGAGCTCCACAGTGGTGACAGGTGGGAATGAACCTAAGCTCAAAGGTACGTGTCTGTGGGTACCTAGTCCTGATATTCCTACGTGATTGATGACTCTGTTCCCTAGGAACACTCTTACCCTTACTTGGACTCCTAACAACATTAGACTTAGAGGCAGACACAAAGACAGTCTTAGATGGTCCAGCAACATGTGTATTACCCTCAACATATCCTAGACCTCTCTTATCTCCCACTGGCTTATTCATTCCCAACAGGTTATCCAATTTATTAGTTCCACTTATGAATGTCTGAAGATGAGTATTAGATTTCACCAATTCACTAGTCAAACTCTTAACCTTGTCTTCCAATTTCTCATTGACACATTTTAACTCACTACCACTCTTAAGTGAGTCCTGAAGCTTACTACCTAGATTCTCTTTTTCCCTTTCAAGTTCGTCAACCTTTTTAAGTAGGGCTTTATTGACCTTCTTTATTTTAAGACTCTCCTTAAACAACAGTTGATAAGCTTCTTGTAAGTCTATGTCATCCTCATCCTCATCCTCATCCTCATTACCAGAATTATCGTTTAAATGTTCTTCCTCAACCTTGTCACTTTCCTTATCAGATTCACTCTTAACAGTAGCCACAAATGCCATATAATTTCCTTCATCATCACTACTAGAGGATTCCTGCCTATCACTGGTCTCAGATTCATTATCAGTAAGTGAGACAACTAAGGCCCTATCTTTCCCTTTTCTTTGATTTTTCTTATAGCTAGGACACTCATTCCTATAGTGACCTATTCCTTGACACTCATGACATCTAACCAAACGTGGCTTCTCACTTGACCCTTTATTGTTAACTTTCTCAATTTTATCTTTTGTGAATATGCTAGGGGCTCCACTCTTCCTATCCTGAGGCTTTCTCCTATTCTTGAGGACTTTTTGAAATTTCTTAACAAAGTATGCGATTTCCACATCCCTAAGTGACTCAGTATCAGAAGATACATCTTCTTTAATGGATTTTAGGGCTATGGACTTTCCTTTCTTATGTTGTGAGATAGTGAGTTCATAGGTTTGCAAGGATCCTACCAATTCTTCGATCTTAACTTCATCTAGGTCCTTAATTTCCTCAATGGCAGTGACTTTAGGCCTAAATCTCTCAGGTAGAGATCTAAGTACTTTTCTCACAATCTTAGTCTCGGGAATTCTCTCACCTAGGTTGAAACTAGAGTTAACTATATCATTTAGTTTAGCGTAAAACTCATCAAAGGTTTCATCATCTTTCATCCTCACTTCTTCAAACCTAGAGGCTAGCATTTGCAATTTTGAGTTCTTTACTATCTTAGTTCCCTCATGTGTAGTTTCGAGAATGTCCCAAACCTCCTTAGCAGTTTCACACATAGACACTCTCCTAAACTCTTCTGGAGATATAACCATGAATAATGCATGAATTCCCTTACTATTCCAATTACATGCAGCTAATTCATCTTTATTCCACAGTGATATGTCAGTAAGGTTAATTGTTCCTGATACGGTAGTAGATGGAGGTTTCCAACCATTTTGAACGCTAATCCAAACATGTTCATCTAAGGACTTAAGGAACGCACGCATTCTAACCTTCCAATATGCATAATTACTTCCGTCGAAAAATGGAGGTACAGACAGTGATTGACTCATCTAGACAACTATGGGTCAGGACTCGAGATTAAGCTCTAATACCACTTGAAAAACCTATCGTTCGACCCAACTAACACCTATAGGGGGGTGAATAGGTGTTCTTGCGGGATTAAAAACTTTTTGACTAATTCATGCAACAAGTCATACAAATTATAATTTGTCCAGATTAATTCACGTGATTTATCTATCTATGTTGGATTACCATTGACAAGTAAATAAATTAAAGCGGTAAAAACACAATAAACATGTTGACGGAGAAACCCAACTGGGTAAAAACTCCGGGCACAAGCCAGTAGAGATTCACTATTGTAGAAACCAACTTACAGCACTCCAGACATCATTGACACTCTCAATTTTCTGACCTCCTTGCTGTATGAACTCAAGACCCTCCTGGATTTTGCAGATCCGTGCTAAATCCCAGCCTTGTATAATTTCTACCTCCCGTGAATTGCCACGCACTCCAGCTCTTCAAGCAAATCCTTCCCGGATCTTCAAACTGATGATCTTCTGGAAGTTTAATTGGAGTTGTGAGACAGGTGTTTTGGTGTTTATGGATTTGATGTTTTTACTCAACAAGCCAAAGATTGGTATAAGATCAATGAAGGATTTCTTTGGCTTTTGATCCTTGGAGTGAATGATTTGGATTTTTGGTTGCCAAGGAATTGAAAGAATATTCAAAGTGTTTTCAATGTGAATTTTTGGGTTAATGAACACGAATCAGACGTTTTGTATATATAGAGGCTGATATATGGTAATGTGGAGCGTCAAACATTCGCGAGCGTTTAAAATTAGAATTGGCTAGGTAACACGGTCGCTCGAGCGAGGTACTGGCGAGCCTCGAGCGACGTACATTTCGCTCTAGCGATGGCTCAGCGTGAGTCCAGCAAAGTTGGTTCTGCAATTGTGGCTAGAGCGAGGTCGGGGCGAGACTCTAGCGAAATCAAAGAGCTGCTTGCATCTTCGAGGCATCCCACACAACCCTAGACCGAGCCTATAAACTTTAGTTAATTGTAACTCTAGTCCCTGAACTATTGGACATTGACAATTTGGTCTTTGACTTTACAATTTTGACAATTTGGTCCTTGATCACAGATTTGCCAATTACATATTTTCCTAATACCAACCATATGGCTAAATGCCCTAAATCGAGATTGAGAATGGATATGACCTCAGTGAGAATGACTCGATCAGGTTTTCATTCCACTGGAAAATTATGTTATACACGTATTTTACTTGCTATTTTATAGGGACCTTGTGCTAATATTCTAAGGCAAAGAATTCAGAAGATTCTGCTCCGTGTAGCTTGCATCTAGGCAAACAAACTTGCAGACCCAATATTCATTTAAACCGGCGACCACTACACCGAATCTTCCTCTTCCTTGTAATTCACGATCAATGGGCTGCTATGGAGTGTCAGGATCAAATCATTTTAATTTCTACCTTCTTTAATTACTTCATGTCGTCAAGAAAATCATGGCTTCCCATGTCTAGAATTAGCTTTGCCTCATCATTAGAATATTTTTGAAAATTTGAACCTGATTTAGTAATGAATCAAATCATGGTAAGTATATAGGTACACATGATTTTGTGTGAAACTTTATTCACAAATGAATTAACAAAGGGATCCTGATTTCCAACATGAACAATGAATGCAAGTGATAAGACGATGCCTCTAGCCAACGGGATTGGGAAGACAAAATGGATAAGCGGCAAGCCAAAAAGAGGTTGTGCTCAATTTCAATCCTGCTACACACGAACTATTAAATCGATGCCTTTTGGCTTGCTTCTTGTGTGTGCTTTATTTCGTGTACTACTGATAATATGGCCTGTGTTATAATAACATAAATTATGCTATTTTGCCAAATGAATGGTGACAGATTCGTATGTAACGAAAAATGATTTGATGGAAAAGATAACTATGTTTTAAACAGTCCAATATTAGAGATGTGAAGATATGTCAACTATTATGTCAATAATTCTGGCACTGTAGCATAATTGTAATAACTTAGTTGACTTCTTCCATGACCCTTTTGTAAGAGAGATTAGGAACCCAAGTCACAAGAGAGAGAATAATAGACACGGTCTTCATGTCCTTTAATATAAATTTTTGATTATGAAAATGTTTACGGAAATCTATGTAAGCTATTTAATTTAACTCATTTCAGTAGACCTTGAGTTCCAATTATAATGATTTAATTAAAACGACACTTCTAAATTTAAAGGAACCTGAAAGATCTCTCTCGCATTCTGATATCGGAATAGCTTAACGCCTTAACCCGAAGTTTTATGTTGTTCAATGCAATGCCTTTAAATGAAATTTCTAATTGGGCACACCAGTCTCATGAATGATGCAGGGCTTCAAAACATATGGAAAATCTAATTTGTTATGTGTCATAATAGAAAAAATAGATGCAGAGACAGGAAGTATCTTGTTAGTGCTAGGTGACGGCAAATAATGTGAAATAAAATTAATACTAAAATATACAACTGGATGTCCAAATAGAGAACACGTCAATGGGAACTGCATAAATGATTGACAACTAGATTTGCAATCCAAATATTAAACATCGCAGAATGCTAAAAATGAATTTAAAAATATATTCCGCAAAGTTCACCTTGAGGGAGAGAGATTTTTCATAGCAGCTGTCACCTTTGATCAATTCAACTCCACCCTAGCATGCTTGGGAGGAAAGCCAGGTGGAGGAGGATAAAGTTCTTCATCTTCAGATTTGATTTTGACAAAGCCTTCTTCACTTCCGTTGGAACAACCTTAGGCCTATGGCTTCTGAAAAACCCAAATTTATCCCACTATGTCAAGCGTGACTGGTAGCATCTTACTCAAAAAGTCGTGCTGGTATGTACAATATGACATTCCCAATTTCCCTGGTATAATTACCTCAAGCAATCTTAGCACATCCATTCTCTCGCATTACACTATATGGAAGATATTGATCCATGCCAAATTGCATGGTCTAACAAAGGCGCTAAATTAAATCTTCTTTAGAACCATCTAGTGACAATAAAACTTTAAGTTCTTCGTTCCCACTTCCTTTGTGCCATTCCATTGAGTCAATCTTGATCCACCAAGCTTAATTCAATTGGGCTTGGGACATATATGTTGGAATCTCTCCCAAACCCAAGCCCGCACTAGTTGGAATGGGGCTGTAACCTTTACTTCAACAGATTTCTTTTGTCCTAGTCCAGTTTCACATTTTTCTAAAGTACCAAGGGTGCCTTTTACTGTAGTCACATTTCTATAATTGTCATCAAGAACAGCAGGTGAAAGTGCAAGTCTGTTACCTTTAGCTGAACTGACGAGTAGAGCAGCTTTGCTTATAGTATCGCGTCCATATGGAAAAACAAACTATGATAGCCAGAAAGCAAGAACTGCTTTGTGTAAAAGGGAGGAGGAGATGTGGAGAAGGAAAGAAAAGAAAATTTAGTTATTATAATCAAAGAAATTTTGGTTATTATAATCTTTCTCCCTATTCCATGTCATTTATCTGGTTATTATAATCTTTCTATGTCATTTATCTCTACAACATTTGTAAAGACTTAGGGTTCAGTCTTAAAAGGTCAATCTTGTTAAGAGGAGCAGTACAAGACCTTATACATTGGTCTATTTTTTCCATCTTTAATCGATGTGAGATTTTATCCCTTAACATGCCCTCGCAAGATAGTGGCTTGTTTGAGTAAACCAATCTTGAAATTTATATACTCATTTATTGAGTCTTAATCGGATCGAATCGTTAGTTGGAGCTTAATGGGCTCTAATACCATATGAAAACTTGGGATTTCACCTTAAAAGGCGTTTTCATCTTTGTTGGATGTGAGATTTTATCCTTTAACACCATTATGTACACGGTAATGTACAAATAACATTACTCATATTTATCAAAGATATTCTAAATATATGTACCTGTTTTCTCCCTTTGATATTTTTTCTTGCTTTATAACCACATTATGTATTGGAAAAGTTCTACCAAACTTTGTCTTCCCCATTTTCCGTTGGTTGAAATGGAGTTGAACATATGTTCCATTGTCACTTTCTTTATCACAGTTTTTTGGTATAGTTTTTTTGGTATTGAATTAAGTATAATAAGTTACGTAATTGAGTCAAATGAAAGAAAAATTAGGTTAAGTGATTAAAGATACTTTAGAAATCGCTTAAACGTGGTATGATTTAAGTTTTGGTAACGCCTATTTAATTATTGAAATTACTTAAAATAATTAATCGTTAACCTCAAAAATATGTCGTACTTCAGGCGACGATATGGACATTGAGACAACTTACCAACCGAGTTGATTTTGCGTACATAGCTTTGTGAGTGAAAAAAACTTATATATTTTTAAAAAAAATTAATATAGTAATTATACTATTACATGATGTGCAATTATGTGAATATTTTGTACAATTACATGATTATTATGAAATATTCTATCATTATGATACATATGAAATCATTAAGGTTGTACATGGATTACTTATGAAATAGAACGTGACACGTGATATTGAGATCGTTCAAAAAAATACCCATGATTATATACTTCTTGTAGTTCAAAAAGGGGCCTTGGCTATACATGGATTACTTATGAACTGGAATGTGACATGTGATATTGAGATCGACTAGAAAAATACCAGTGATTATATACTTCTTTTAGTTCACAAGGGGCCTTGACAGTATTCTATCCTACACTGAGGGGTCTTGACCGGACATTGGTCTTAACCGTGTACTTATAGTTTACAGAAGGACCTTGACCGTGTTCTAAATTGACTATCAGAGGTCTTGAGACTGACTTTCGTTGACGGAGGGGGCCAAAGACCCATGACGAATGTTCTTAGCCCGATGGGCGAATTACAGATTTCAGTCAAATAGTACATTTTTTGGTGAATTTTCCAGTACATTTGATGTGATGAGATTATAGTGAGATTA